TAGAACGGAGAAAAGTAAGGGTAGGGGAGGGACAAGGAAGGAAAAAGTCAGGGGTAGAGAAGGGGCAAGAAAGGAGAAAAGTAAGGAAAGGGGAGGGGCAAGGAAGGAAAAAGTCAGGGGTAGAGAAGGGGCGAGAACGGAGAAAAGTAAGGGGAGGGGAGGGGCAAGGAAGGAAAAAGCCAGGGGTAGGAAAGGGGTCAGGAAGTAGAAAGACAGAGGTGGGAGAGGGGTAAGGAAAGGGAAAAAGGGGAGTACATGAATCGAAGCAAAACCGCGAACGAAAAGGGAAAGGATAGAAGAGAGAACTTGGACTCACCTCTAACAAGGTGGGTTTTGTTTCAGTCGCTTTAAACATACTTGCGTTGGAACTTAAGTGATGAGTTTTGTATTCTAGTGTGCGCACAGAGACTTGGCGGCGAGAAATATTCTTCTTGGAGAGGGAATGGTGGCCAAAGTGTCAGATTTTGGTCTGTCACGTGACATCTACACGGACAATGTGTATGCGAAAACAACCGGGGTAAGAAAATCATCACGAGCGCTCTTTGAAAATCAAAATACTAGCTTCAGCCAATCAGACAAAAGGAAATTTCAGAAGGAGCCAATGGGAACTCAAACGAAATCAATACCTAAAACGCGAGTGATTAAATCGCCAGTTTTGAATCTGGTTGTTTGAGTCAGTGACTGGAGTTTCCTAAATCGAGCACAGAGCTTAATGAAGTAATATTCATGCAAATTTAGATTAAGTTCAAAACTCCGTGGAAAATGGCTGTGTACTTTCTGACTCTGCGATGCTGATCACAAAAATGCAAATCTAATAAAAACACCTTAAAATATAACTTACGCACAGTAGTAAAGTTTCCCTGGATGTGTGCTTGAGAGTATGTAAGTCATCAAAGTACAATGAAGTGAACGGTGATGTTCACAAAGCACAATGAAATGAGTAATTCAACAGTCTCAGATACATAAAAATCTTAACCCTCATTGACTGGTCACACAAGTGGTACGATAGAATGAATGCAATTCTCATTAACACTAATAATCGATTTTAATTTTTTTCCTGTTCGCAGGGCAAACTTCCGGCTAAGTGGATGGCTATTGAATCTCTGGAGCAAGGACTTTACACAAGTCAAAGTGACGTGTAAGTCTCAAACGCTGTTAAGGAGGGGGGGAGGGGGTGTAAAGTTCTTAGGATTTGTATGACCCCCGCTATCGTTGACTAGAAAAAGTTATAATTTATCATAATAAAACAACTTGACGCGTCGCCAAATGCCACTAAGACGCTTGGGTAGAATCCCCTAGCTTTGACAAGAAAGTTGTTTCGAAAGGCACGGGAAATGTGCATGCCAAACTTTATCAAAGAAGCAACATTGGTTTAATTTTACAACTTTCGATTTTTCTTTGTTTCTGTTTTTCACAGTTGGTCGTTTGGTGTCCTGCTATGGGAAATTGAAACTGGAGGTGAGACTTCCCTTTTCTAGCCACGGCTGCTTAAACCGAATTCAGATTTCATTACTTTGCTTTGAGTGCGAAGCGTCAATGACACTTGATATTCTAAGCCATTTTTTGCCTTGTGCACAGCTACCTTTAAGTCGATGGAGACCAAAAATATCAGTTCAACTAGATAGGCAAATGCAAAAGAGGCAGTAAGTAACAAAAACGAAACAAGAATTGCTAAGAATGGTGAAGATTATGACGGAATGGATATGACTACAAAAGAGTAGCTCAGTTTGATAGAAAAACTCAAAAGAGAAAGAGACAAATCAAGAAGGAACATGGATGGCTTAGGGTGGTAAAGATTTACACAGATTGCAGATAATGAGCCGTTTACAAACCCTGACGTTGCTCGTGTCAGCTACCGCTTCGCAAAATGTGTACCCATAATAAGAAAGTTAGTTCCATGCAAAGATCATGATGGGATTTGCTATCACTGTTGCCTCAATTCACATGATACGTTCTTTGATCTTGCTCATAGGTTGTGCTCCATATGCCGGTATTGCTTCGGGCGAATTGTTGCCCAAACTTAAAGCAGGCCATCGTTTGGAAAAGCCTCGTTACTGCACTGATTGGCTGTAAGTAAAGTGAAATCGTGAGGCGTTCAAAAGAGCTAGAGTGTGAAGAGCTCCTTGTGCCACCCTTTTGACCCTGCTTTTCTCTACCAGTCAGATGTATTACGACATAGTTATTATGCAGCCCAGCTACAGAAGCATTGGTTTATGTTGGGAAAGAAAATAGTTGCACCCCTCTCCACCCCGAAGATTTTAAATAGATACCAAGAAATCTTGGATAAGGGGGGGAGGGAGGGGGGTGGAGTAACCTGTGACCTCGCCTAAAAGAAGTAAACACGTGACTCACTATCTTGCCGCTGACCAACCACGCGCCAGCTCCGAGTGCATAGTCATTTCGGAATACTTATCAAGTGAAATGTCTATTAATCTTCAGTTATGCGATGATGCTTCGTTGCTGGAATGCAAATCCTAAGGCGAGACCAGGGTTTGGGGACCTGAGTGACGAACTTCATCGAATACTCCAACAAGAATCAGTAAGTTTGACTAGCATCTAATTTCTCCAAACAGTGTCACCTCCGAATCAAACGAATGTCATGAGAATGGAGGAATGATCACCAACTTAATTATTAATTATTACTAATTATTATAAATTATTAATTATTAATTATTATTATTAATTATTTATTATTATTATTATTATTAATTATTATTATTATTAACTATTAATTATTAATTATTCCTTGATTGTTAAACAAATTCTCTTTGTCAGCACCGTAGGAAGTGTATGGTAAGCAGTCTGGAGAAGATGCTTACCTAAGTTAGCGTGTAAGAGTTAAGCGGACAGCAGCTAGAGTCACTCTGTGTGTCCCTCCTGCTTCCTGTACCTTTATTTCAAGAGTGTTGCGTTGCTATATTGTAATGACAGGTCAG